GGCTGGTCAAAGCAAGAGTCTGTCGTGGGATGGAGACTGGGATGTTCTCCCTTTCTTCTTGGGATAGCTGCGAATCAGCACATCCCAACCTTGTTCCCAAATTTTTGTCTTCCTTGGAGCACCATCACCAACAGGTTAAGCATACCCTCAGTCTGATAAAAAGCCCCTGTAGGTGACAATCTTCTCTGTGGCAATAAGCTGTAACACCCCCATGTTCACAGCCTGGCCGTCAACGAGGCCTGTGGTCTCAGCATCTCCTGGGCTGTAGGAGCTCTTAATTCTTGCCTTGTGAGGAACCCCAAATTGCTTCTCTACAACTCTGGTGGCCCCTCGCACCAGGTGTTAGACCTGGTCTTTACAGTGTCTCCTGCCTGCCCACCTCTGTGCCTTGGTCATTCCCAAACCATGTATGGACTGTTTCCCTCTGCACCCCCTCTCCCAGGTTGTGGAGAGACATCTGTGAAGGAAACTCAGGGCTCTCCTGCAATATTTATCACACAGGAAGGTTCAGCATCTGTTGCCTCCTTTGAAGCTCCCCAGGACCAGCTTTCAGCCGCTTTTCCAGGTCACCTGGGTGACTTCAGAGCTGGTGCCCTGTTGAGCTTCAGGGCTGTCACAGAGGGTGACACCAGCACCTCTGAGAGCTGCTCTGCATCCCCGGGGCTGTCCCTTGGAACAGTGAGGTGCCATCGTAGTGCAAAAAAGTGTCGATGGGGCTAGACTTCTCTACTGTGATTTATTTTTTTTAATTCATCTGCCTTACTAAAACCCCCACCCAAAAGCCTCACAAATTCTGGGTTTTGGAGCCCTCATGTTGTCTCTTCTTTCCCGCTTGTGGCTTCTGCACAGGACCAGCTTTTCACTGCTCGTGGGGCTCTGGGGAGCATCAGCTGTGGAAGTCACTGCTGGTATTGGGATGAAAACCTGCCTTGGATCTCTCACTGGTGGGTCTATTTGTCATTTCCCTCACACTTGTGGTAGTCAATACTTCTAACCTCCTTCTCACCTCATTAGAGCTCGGCCCTTGTACTTTATCTCCCAAGTTAATTCGTCCTGTGTCATCTGCTCTCTCCTTGCTCTTGCCGCACAATTATTTTCTTCAAGGCTGAGGAAGAAGCACTTGACAGGAATCCTTTGCCATCTGGGTGCCTGCAGACCATGTCTGAGCTGTCTCTTCATCAGCAAACTCAAAAAACCACCATCACATGGAGCTTCTGGAGCCTTCATTTATCAGGAAGGTTTTGTGGCTTGCAAGTGCTGCTCCCCAAATCTACCCAAATGCTCCAGCATCCCATGGGATTGCTCCACAGGGCTGGAGCTCCACCTCAGAGAAGGTCTCCCGTCCTTGTGCATCCCCTCCAGCTCTGCAGCATCCCATGGGGGCATCTGCATCCACCATGGGGATGAATGTGGGAATGGCCAGGACCCCATAGCTGGCTGGGGCTTCGATGGGGTGCTCTGGTGGTTGAGCCCCAAAGGGTGTTTTTATTTTTGGTGCTACCTGGCCTCATCTCAGGATTTTCCTGGATTTGCTAACTGGGGAGGCTGCAGCTCTGGGAGGGCCTGGGGGGCTCCTGGATCTGGAGGGGACATGGTGTCCCTGATGGTGGAGGTGCAGGTGCCTCTGCACGAGGAACAGGCTTTGTTGACAGAGCTTTGCTCCAGAGGAACCAAGTGAGGTGGAGATGTGTCTTTGAAAAAATAGAGGGGGAGAAAAGGAAAATCCAGTGTTTGAAGTGATCCTGAAAATAACTGATTTTTTTTTTTTTCTTTCCTCCTGTTCCCTTTGCCTTTTTGTTCTCCCAGGTGTGTGGGACAGGGAGGTCTTGTGGGGTTCCATGGGCCTGGACAGTCTTTGCTTTGAGAAAGGAGAGTTGATGGTGAAGGCAGGAGCACAGGGAGGGGAGATTCTACTGTAATCTCCCAGGGAATCCATTCAGCCATTCTCTCTTTGTCCATAAAATGGCCACAAAAGGATGTTTTTTGGCTTCCTGGTGTTTTGCAAGAGTGAATTCTTACATGTGAAGTTTTCAGTGGTTGGTGTGGAGAGCTGGCACTTGCTGCAGTCAACAGGGTGAGGAGCATCTCTGCGTGGTGCTGCATTAGGTCCTGGATGTGGTCTTGAGGAGGGGGTTCTGGTGTCCTCCTGAGCCTACAGACCTTGCCTGGGGACCCATGGCTCTTCTGCTCTGCTGCTTCTCTTCTCCAAGGCTTGGGGCATTTAGCAGATATGTCAGTCAGGAATGCAAAGGGGATGGAGAAAGCTGTTTCCCTGCAGGTCAGAGGGGTTTTGGTGTGGACCATCAGCCAGGGAGGCTGCACAGACCTGGGGGTGAGGAGGAAGGAGATAAAAGCAGATACCCCCATCCAGCCCAACCCTTCTCCAGGAGCAATTTGGATGTTTCAAGCTCCTGCCTGGGAGATGCAGGGCGCCACTCGCCCCACCAGCCCCCAGCTTATCTGCAACAAGGGCTGGGGGTCATTTGAAACCCTCGTTGATAGCCATCTGATTTGCTTGTAAAGCCCAGGGAGGAAAGCAGAGCCAAGCCAGTCTGGAAGACAAGACACAGCAAGTCTCACAGCACAGTCCCCAAAATCCTCCAATCCATATCGGGGCAAGAATTGCAGAGGACAACAGCTTCGGGTCAGGATGCTGAGATGCTCTGCAGGAGCAGAGGTTGACCTGGGCTGGGAGGAGAGGAGATGTGAAGATGGGGACATGGGGGATTCCTGGGCTGTTGCTTGAAAAAACCCAGAGGAGGCAGAGCTGAAATCTCGAACTTCATTTGAGGCTCTGCTTCATGCCTTTTTTCCTCTCTTTATCCATTTTTTGTCCTTTTCTCTCCTTTTCTCTCCTTTTCTCTCCTTTTCTCTCCTTTTCTCTCCTTTTCTCTCCTTTTCTCTCCTTTTCTCTCCTTTTCTCTGCTTTTCTCTGCTTTTCTCTGCTTTTCTCTGCTTTTCTCCTTTTCTCTCCTTTTCTCTGCTTTTCTCTGCTTTTCTCTGCTTTTCTCTGCTTTTCTCTGCTTTTCTCTGCTTTTCTCTGCTTTTCTCTGCTTTTCTCTGCTTTTCTCCTTTTCTCTTCTTTTCTCTTTTCTCTTCTTTTCTCTTCTTTTCTCTTCTTTTCTCCTCTTTTCTCTTCTTTTCTCCTCTTTTCTCCTCTTTTCTCCTCTTTTCTCCTCTTTTCTCCTCTTTTCTCCTCTTTTCTCCTCTTTTCTCCTCTTTTCTCCTCTTTTCTCCTCTTTTCTCCTCTTTTCTCCTCTTTTCTCCTCTTTTCTCCTCTTTTCTCCTCTTTTCTCCTCTTTTCTCCTCTTTTCTCCTCTTTTCTCCTCTTTTCTCCTCTTTTCTCCTCTTTTCTCCTCTTTTCTCCTCTTTTCTCCTCTTTTCTCCTCTTTTCTCCTCTTTTCTCCTCTTTTCTCCTCTTTTCTCCTCTTTTCTCCTCTTTTCTCCTCTTTTCTCCTCTTTTCTCCTCTTTTCTCCTCTTTTCTCCTCTTTTCTCCTCTTTTCTCCTCTTTTCTCCTCTTTTCTCCTCTTTTCTCCTCTTTTCTCTTCTTTTCTCCTCTTTTCTCCTCTTTTCTCCTTTCTCTTTTTAAAATTTTAATTAGCATTTATCTCCGGCACCAAATTCTGCCCTTGTTTCTTCTTTGAGCCTCCGTTTGCAAGGCAGCCCTAAGAGTGTAAGACAAGGCTCTGGGCCTTAGAGAGGCAGAACCAGACCGGTGGGGCAAGAGATGTACCAGCTTGGGGGTCAGATGAGGGGACCTCTGGCTTGTCCTCGGATGGGGGGGCTCTCACAGCTCGGCGTGGGGCAGCAGCAGGGGGGGACAGTGTCTGTGTGGGGTGGTGCCGTGCGCCCTCTCTAAAGTTTTTAATAAAATTCACAGATGCCTGGAGATCAATGCCCGTGCCAGCTTGGCTCATCAATACTTCAGTGCTCTCTCCTCACCAGTCCCTTTGAAGGGATTATTTAATTATGCACATCGCTCCTCAGACGCGTGTGATGAGGGGTCAGGCTGGATCCTGGGTTCTTTTTGTCTGCAAATAACATCTCTGCGACCATACTGCTCCCTCGCTCCCTCCTTGTGGGGCTGGCAGAAGGTTTCTCTGTAGCTTCCCAGCTTCTAGACACCCATGGTGCATCCTGACCTCGTGCTGTGTCGGCTGCTGTGACCAGAGAAAAGCCCCACACTGAGGACAACAGCTCTGTCCTGGGGCCACGGGGCCAGCGAAGACACGAGGTCATCTCTCCCCATAGGCAAATGCCCGTTTCCTCATGGGTGGGATGCTCTTGGGGAAGGTGAGGATCAACCATTTCATTTTAGCCCAAGCCAACTGTTGGCTTTGGCTCAGATTGAGGTGGCAGTGGACTTTGGATTGGGTTGATCTCTTTGGAAACCTCTGCTGAGAAGGTCCCTCTTCCTCCATCCGCTCCCATGGAGGATGTGTCCATGCCTCTGCTGTCTGCTCACCCTGTGCCAACCCTGCAGGACACCAGGATGGGTTGAGCAGAGCCCTACTCCTGGCACTGGTGGTTTTGGGGATGGGGTCCCATGGCAGCGAAGCTTCTGGGAAAGCTGGAGTGACTGGTGGCATACTGGACCCCAGCAGAGCTGGGCGTGGGCGTAAGGAGAGCCTGGGATGGTGGCCACGGGCCACAGCAAGTGGCTCTTTTCCTTCTTTCCTTTACAAGCTGGAAGGTTGGGGCTTGGTTTTGTTGGGTTTTCTCATCCTTGTTTAAAAACTCGTTTACCATAATAACAGCTCTGCCAACGTTTGAAAGACAGGTTTCCACCTTCTGAGCAACGAGTCGTCTCGAGCAGCAGCCTCAAAGGCTCAGGAGGAGGAGGAGGGAAGTCAGTGTGATTTTTTTTTAGTTATTATTACTAATTTTTTTTTAATTTCTTCCCCCTATAGATATCCTCTTCAGCCATCCCTGAACTCAGTGTGATTTTTTTTTTTTAGTTATTATTACTAATATTTTTTTTTCTTTTTTTCCCCTATAGATATCCTCTTCAGCCATCCCTGTTCATCGCGGAGGGGCCAGAGCAGCCGGGCTGTGGGAAACGGCTGGAAACTGGGAAACCATGTACAATGGTTTGGGAAAAGGCAGTGATTGGGTAAGACCATGGTCACAGGTGCTCCACAGCACGACGGGGACGCGTGACCCAGCGAGCGTTGGTGCACGAGAGTCCCGGGGAGCTGAGATCAAAGCCCCAGCCGCGCCGAGCTTCCCCGGCCAGATGTGGTTTTGGATAAGGGAAGAGGGCAATTATTGCTCCACAAGCTCCACGGGGTGTGTGCCAGTCCTTATTAAATGATTATTAGATGCCAGCTCTGAGGAGGCGTGAGGAAGGATTCACTCCAAGTGGCTCAGCCCCAGCTCCAAGGACATTACATGTCGACGCGCAAGAGATTTTGGGCCCAGCTGAAGAGGGACATCACAAACAGAAGGGCTGGTTCTGCTCCAGGGCATCCATCACTTTTGGGTAAGACTATCTTTAAGGAGATTCTTGCCCTCCCAGCGTGCAAAATAGGATGTGAGGTGTCACAGAAGACCATCCCCATGTCCTCGACTGCCATCCTGTTATTTCCAGCTCAGCGGGGAGGCTGTGAGAAGGGGCTGCCACAGGAGCTGGTGACAGCCCTCCACAGTGGTAGCAGCCGTAGGGTGACAGCAAACCATGGGCCATGCTCTTAGCTGGGTTCTGCATCCCTGCAATGCACGAGCCTCATAGTGAGGGTGTCATTGGTAACCCCATCCTGCTTTTGGTTTTTCTCCCCAAAAGACTGCAATAGTAAAGTCAAAAAATAAGCCAAAATATCCCCAAGGAACGGCCATCCAGGCTGGAGTGGACCACGTGCTCCAACCTTTCCTCCTGGCTGCAGCCTTCACCTTGACCAGACTCTCTAAAGGTGCATGAGCCACCAGCAGAGAATTAATTGAGCAAATTACGAAGCATTTTGGTTGCTCTGAGCAAATTATGGTTCACGAAGGAAAACTTTCCCAAAACTCCTTTCCCACAGCGCTTCTGTGGGGCTGGTCACCATGTAGCTGTGGGATATCTAAAGCATGTTTTGGGCGACCTTCTCATCAAAGATGCTTCTGAGGTCTGCCCTTCCTGGTGGAGGGCATGGACCAGGGGCTCTTGTGGCCCTTTGGGACAAGACCCTGGGGAGATGTCCTTCATGGAGAAGACCATGGAGGAGATGTCTTCCACGAAGGGGACCATGGAGATGTTCTCCATGGAGATGACCACGGAGCAGGTCTGCAGGCTGTGTGTGGAAGGACTGAAGGCCCTGGAGGGCTGGCTGTGGGGTGGAGCAGGTGCTGGGACAGGCGAGGTGGAGGCAGCAGGAGGGCAGGGACAGGCAGAGCCGGCTGAGCCACTTCCCACGCCTGCACGCAGAGACGCCCTCCGCGCCGGCCCTGGGCTGGAGGCAGCGCTGAGGGGCCACGGGGGTTCCTCTCCAGCTTCATTCTCCACCGCTGAGATGGTGAGGGCTGGGGTGGTGGTCTCCTGGAGCCCAGGTGTGCCCCTTGCCCAGGAGAACCCCTCCTGCCCCACCACGACACCCCCAGGCGCAGGCAGCGCTGCGGGGATTTCCCTCCCTGCGAGTCCTGCTCTCACACGCCGTGGCTGTTGGGGGGCTCAGAGACACCCCCCCGGCGGGGAGAGGATGATGATGCTCGGTGGGTGTTTGCAGGTTCCCTCCAGCTCTTCTGCCACCACCTTCTGGTCCTCTCTTCCTTCCTCTCTTTTCCTCCTTCTTCCTCCCTCTTCCTCTCCCTCCTCCTTCCTCCCTTTCCATTCTCCTTCCTCCCTTTCCCTCCTCCTTCCTCCCTCTCTCTCCTTTTTCCACCCTCTCCCTCCTCCTTCTTCCCTTTCCCTTCTCCTTCCTCCCTCTCCCTCCTTCTTCCCTCTCTCTCTTTTTTCCTCCCTCTCCCTCCTCCTTCTTCCCTTTCCTTTCTCCTTCCTCCCTCTCCCTCCTTCTTCCCTCTCTCTCTTTTTTCCTCCCTCTCCCTCCTCCTTCTTCCCTTTCCTTTCTCCTTCCTCCCTCTCTCTCCTTTTTCCACCCTCTCCCTCCTCCTTCTTTCCTCTCTCTCTTTTTTCCTCCCTCTCCCTCCTCCTTCCTCCCCTTCCTTTCTCCTTCCTCCCTCTCCCTCCTCCTTCCTCCCTCTCTCTCCCACCCAATTTAAGGATAAAAAAGAGCCCATCCCTCTCCCTTCTCACTCTCCCACCCAATTTAAGGATAAAAAAGAGCCCAGAGACATCCCCGTCCCCTGCTACCCACCCTCCCAAAGTCTTGGAGTCCTCCATCCCTCTTTGGGCAGCTCTTGGAGCGTGGTCCCTGCTCCAAAGGAGTCAAGGGGGTCCCGGGACGAAGGGAGGTGACACTGCCACATCAGGTGACATCTACCAGGGGGATGCTGGAGTCAGGAGCATCGTGGCCCTCGGGGCTGATCCAGAGACCATGGCATGGTGTGCTCTGCTTGCCTTCCATCCCTGGCATGAAGCTGGTGGCTGGTATCAAGGAATGATGGTTCTCCCCAGGGCCCCGGCCTCTCTTCCTCCACATGGACAAAATTAGCTCGTTTTCTTCCAGAAGACAGAAAAAAAAAAAAGGCAAAGCAAACACCTCGGCCTTTGTTCGGAGACAAGGGCCACAGCCCGCTCAGATGGAATTTATTTTGTGCTGGGTAATTCAATCCATTCGGGCTCAGGATGTGGCCAGGAGAGCTGAGCCAAAAAATGCAAGTTTAAAGCAACTAAATTTTATGCTGTGTATACAGTTAAGTTTGGGTTTGGCTGAGACAAGCAGTTTCCATGGTTTTTTTGCAATTTCTGTTGTAGCAACGAGCTCCTTACGCAATGGAAGGGCCGGTGGTCCTCCCGGTGAGTCGTGGCTGGAGAGGGGGCACGGGGGGGGAGCCAGGACAACCCGGCTGGGGGGACAGGGCTCATCACAAGGTGATGGATAGTGACCCACGTGGTGTGACCCTCTCTGGGGACAGCACGCTTGGCGTGGGTGAGTACATCCCTGTGGTCTGGCCCGGAAAGGGTTGGATGGTTTCCTCCGAGTCCATTCCCCCATCCCCATCTCCGGTGCCAAGGGGGGCTGCTCTGGGTGGTGGGGCTGTGGCTGCTGAGCCCTGCGTTCCTCGCTGAGGTGTCCCTCTCCCTCCTTTGCCATTAACATTTTTCTCAACGTCACGTTCAAGGGGAGGGCTGGAAAAGCTGAGCCGCGCCGAGCCCTAACCCAACAGCTGGGCTGCAGATGTGCTGAGAAACCCACGCCAGCCCACGTGTCCCCATCCCCTCTAGCCCCAGCTGCCCTCCGGGCACGGGGGGTGCACCCTTGAAGAGGGCTCATCCTTAATTTTCCACAGCACCCTGCACCCCTGCACCCCTCTGTGGACCGCTTTGTGGTCCGCTGGGAGAGAAAAAGCATGAGATTGAAACAACCACCAGCACTCTCAGAAATAATACATGTTGTTTTTCCCCTTGACCCAGAGAATTATTATTTCAGCTTGCTGGGGGTGGCTGTGCTTATCCTCTGGCTGTGCTTTTGGCAGCTCCATGTGCTGCCCCGGTGGGTGCGATACGGCCCCTTCCCCGCGGCGAGGAGGGAGACTCAGCACCCCACCGCCTGGAAAAGCATCAGGGCTCGGGCAAAGCGGTCCCTCTGCAGGGAGCTTTTCTTGTTAAATGGCACATTTTGCTCCAGGATGGTTCCCACAAAACTGCTGTTCTTTCAAGGAGCTGATCCCACTGCCCCAACAGAGCCCAAGGTACAGGCAGTGCCTTGGCTGTGATTTATCCCCCAGTCCAAGGGTGGGCTGGATGGGATCCCCCTCCAGTTACACCCCGTGCCTTGTTTGTTACCATAGCTGGGGCTGGTTTGCAAAAGAATTACCAGTTCATCAGGCTGGCCACTTGTGGAACACCCCTGCCAGCAACCTCCAGGCTTGGAAGCAGCGCTCCAAACGTTTGCTTCTCTTTGGCTTTGCACTTTGGACTGCAGAACAGTGCGTCGCCCTGCTGAACCTAATCCTCCTGGCCCGTCCTGTCCTGCTGCCAAAGGCTCGTGAGAGTCATTCAGTGATGGAGACTTCATCTTCCATGGGCTCAAGGGTTTCCTGATGGGGCTTCTGCGAATTTATCAACCCAGTGGATTTCTATTCCGTGAAATTCTCCAGTATCCTCTTCAACCCATGTAACCACCAGAATTTTCAGCATTTCAGTATTTTCCTGTGGGGTGGGGAGCTCAGCAAGTTAAATAGAATCATAGAATCATAGAATCATAGAATGGTCTAGGTTGGAAGAGCCCCTTGGGATCATCGAGTCCAACCATCTACCCTACTCTGCAAAGTCCTCCCCTACACCATGTCCCTCAGCACTGCATCTAAACGTCCCTTAAACACATCCAGGGATGGTGACTCCCCCCCCTCCCTGGGCAGCCTGTTCCAATGCCCGACCACTCTTTCAGTGAAAAATTCTTTCCTAATGTTCAGTCTAAACCTACCCTGTTGGAGCTTGAAGCCGTTCCCTCTCGTTCTATTGTTAATTACCTGTGAGAAGAGACCAGCCCCAACCTCTCTACAGTGTCCTTTCACGAAGTTGTAGAGAGTGATGAGGTCTCCCCTCAGCCTCTTCTTCCTCGTGCTGTTTGGGGACCTACCTCCTTTCAGGTGCTGTGAGCAAGGCTCCTGCTGGCATCATTTGATGCCTTCCTGATCCTACGTTGGCAAAGACTGGGCACAGCCCCTGTCTCCTGGGGCCATCAAGATTTCACAGCCTCCCATCACCTTATCTTGCAGCTTCAAGGCACCTTGGGCAAACTGAAGGCTCCTTTGGAAATGTCCATCCTTGCCCTGCTCTCCTTGCCTTCCCCGCTCTGTGCCACCGGCCCTGCCTGTCTCCAAGCTTCTCTTCCCAGCTTCGGTGTCCCATCTGCTCCCACCCTGCTCTGGGTCCATCCTGATGCTTGCTGGTGGGGTAGCTTCTCCAGGAAACACAAGATCTGCAGCTTTGCTTGGCCTCAGAAGACCCACACCATGTGTCGAAAGCGCCTGGCATCACTTTGGAGGCTGCTGTTGGCCATATGTCATGAAACGATGGTAGGATGCTGGTGAATCCTTTCAGCCTCT